ACAGCTGAAACATTTGCCTGGTGACAGCTGAAACATCTGCCTGGTGTAAACTGAAACATCTGCCTGGTGACGGCAGAAACATCTGACTGGTGACGGCTGAAACATCTGACTGGTGTCAGCAGAAACATCTGACTGGTGACAACTGAAACATCTGCCTGGTGTCAACTGAAACATCTGCCTGGTGTCAACTGAAACATCTGCCTGGTGTCAACTGAAACATCTGACTGGTGTCAACTGAAACATCTGACTGGTGTCAGCTGAAACATCTGCCTGGTGACAGCTGAAACATCTGCCTGGTGTCAATTGAAACATCTGCCTGGTGTCAACTGAAACATCTGCCTGGTGTCAACTGAAACATCTGACGGGTGTCAGCTGAAACATCTGCCTGGTGACAGCTGAAACATCTGACTGGTGTCAGCTGAAACATCTGCCTGGTGTCAACTGAAACTTCTGACTGGTGTCAGCTGAAACATCTGCCTGGTGACAGCTGAAACATCTGACTGGTGTCAGCTGAAACATCTGACTGGTGACAACTGAAACATCTGACTGTTGACGGCTGAAACATCTGACTGGTGACAACTGAAACATCTGACTGGTGACAACTGAAACATCTGACTGGTGACGGCTGAAACATCTGCCTGGTGAAGGCTGAAACATCAGACTGGTGACAACTGAAAAATCTGCCTGGTGACGGCTGAAACATCTGCCTGGTGACAGCTGAAACATCTGCCTGGAGACAGCTGATCTATCTGCCTGGTGACAGCTGAAACATCTGCCTGCTGACAGCTGAAACATCTGCCTTGTGACGGCAGAAACATCAGACTGGTGACAGCTGAAACATCTGACTGGTGACATCTGAAACATCTGCCTGGTGACATCTGAAACATCTGCCTGGTGACAGCTGAAACATCTGACTGGTGACGGCTGAAACATCTGACTGGTGACGGCTGAAACATCTGCCTGGAGACGGCAGAAACATCTGACTGGTGACAGCTGAAACATCTGACTGGTGACATCTGAAACATCTGCCTGGTGACGGCGGAAACATCTGACTGGTGACAGCTGAAACATCTGACTGGTGACAGCTGAAACATCTGCCTGGTGACGGCGGAAACATCTGACTGGTGATAGCTGAAACATCTGACTGGTGACAGCTGAAACATCTGACTGGTGACGGCTGAAACATCTGACTGGTGACGGCTGAAACATCTGCCTGGAGATGGCAGAAACATCTGACTGGTGACGGCTGAAACATTTGCCTGGTGACAGCTGAAACATCTGACTGGTGACAGCTGAAACATCTGCCTGGTGATGGCTGAAACATTTGCCTGGTGACAGCTGAAACATCTGACTGGTGACAGCTGAAACATCTGCCTGGTGACAGCAGAAACATCTGCCTGGTGACAACTGAAACATCTGCCTGGTGACAACTGAAACTTCTGACTGGTGACGGCAGAAACATCTGACTGGTGACAACTGAAACATCTGACTGGTGACAGCTGAAACATCTGACTGGTGACGGCTGAAACATCTGCCTGTTGACGGCTGAAACATCAGACTGTTGACGGCTGAAACATCTGACTGGTGACAACTGAAACATCTGACTGGTGACAGCTGAAACATCTGACTGATGACGGCTGAAACATCTGACTGGTGACAGCTGAAACATCTGACTGGTAACAGCTGAAACATCTGCCTGGTGACGGCTGAAATATCTGCCAGGTGACAGCTGAAACATCTGCCTGGTGACAGCAGAAACATCTGCCTGGTGACAGCAGAAACATCTGACTGGTGACAGCTGAAACATCTGACTGGTGACAACTGAAACATCTGCCTGGTGACAACTGAAACATCTGCCTGGTGACAACTGAAACATCTGACTGGTGACAACTGAAACATCTGACTGGTGACAACTGAAACATCTGACTGGTGACAACTGAAACATCTGACTGGTGACAACTGAAACATCTGACTGGTGACGGCTGAAAC